ATTTTTTATATTTAAAATAAGATGTTTATCTTGTATTTGATTATGTTTATCTGCAATTAGTTACACGAATTCAGATATGGAGCTTTAATAAGTTGTATCTATGCACAATTTACTTGTAAGATTGAGTTTTAAGTAATATGCATTAATAAATAGTACTTTATGCATAAAAAGTTGTTTTTAAGAGTTTTTGTCAAATGATTTATAATATAGAATATATTTTTTTATATAATTTAATTTAAGTTTAGTAATAAAACAATTTATTTTTGGTTGAATATTATAAATTTTATAAAGATAATAATTAAGTATTCTGTTAGAATTTAATGATTATACTAATTATATTTTAGAATTTTTATATTTAAAATGAGATGTTTATCATGTATTTGATTGTGTTTATCTGCAGTTAGTTATACGAATTCAGATATGGGATGAAATCGGATAGGGATGAATGGGATGAAATAGATAATTATTTATTTAATTTAATTTATTTTATATCCCTTATTTTTTTTCATTTTAAATTTTACACTCTTATCTCTCTCTATGCTATGTAAAGTAGTTATTATTGAAATTTAAAAGGTACCAGTTACTATGCATCATGTACAATTCCAACAGTCATAATTTTTGATGAAAATTAAGAATTACATCCTATCATGCTTACTGTACAACTCACAAAGCTATTAACCCTCACGTCTTCCCTCAATTTTATGTTGTTAACCTCCCATGTCTCCCCTCAATTGTCTATGCAATTGTTAACCCCCCAGGATCCACGCCACAACCCCCTGAATTCTCCTTCATAATACACAACCCTTGTCGCTCTCTTTCCTGCTGCTCTCTCCACAGTCGTTCACTCTTCCTCCTTCGTTCCTCATGTGATGTGGCAAATCATGTTAGGTTTTCTTGGTGTTGATTTTATGTTCCTCATTCTCCTTCTTTACTTATGCGTTGGGTTTATCATGATTTACACTTTTATTTGACGATTATTATTAGAATCTTGTTGGGCTTTACTAATTAATGTCAGCAACATTTTACTCTTGTCAGTAACAAATCCTCCTCAACAACCATTTTTTTCTGAACTTGTATGGTTGTTTTCCACAAATATCTATATAATTTATAATTTTAATTTAGAATCTTAGAAACATCACCGTCGGTTCATCTACACCTGTTACAAGTATGGAGGGGTGACTTTTGATGTGAATGCTAAGCCATGAATGGCCTAATTGTTCCTGGCATAGTGATCATAGATTTAGTTGACATATATTTCGACGGTAACCTAATCTTTTTAACTGTTGATTTATGCATATAATAATTTGTATACTATAAGAGTGGTGCATTTAATGATATCTAGTCTATTCGTCGGCACACTCCAAAGATTGGTTGGCGGTACGTTATTGTTATTCTAGTATCACATCATCGGGTATAGCCGTTGCTTTGTTTCCCACTCTAAATGGATCTATTGGATTTAACCCCACCAGCAACTTTACCTTGACTTGAAAATGGTTAATAACTCTATTCTACAATACTTATTTTTGTAAGGCAAACATTTATGATAATATATATCATAGATCGCTAACTCGAACCCCAACCTGTACAAACATAAGTTCTTGGATAAATCACTTATGATTCCATAGCTTGTATATGTGAACATCTATTGCGCTATTTCCCATATAATTTATGTTTTCTACATTGTTGATAACCCAATTTGTATGGACGTACTCGAGAAAAATTTCTTATGAATGTGTTAGCCATATGAACCTTGTCGTGCCTGACAACAAGAATATCATTAAGTCATCTTATTCTATATATACATATACTAATCAGCTGGGTAAGTGGTCGGATGCTATGAACCTTTGACCTAGTCTTCTTATACATAGCACATTACATGGAAACCTAATTGGCCATATTGCAACTTCTTCTTTTTGGGATCGTTTTGCCGCTAGGTTCACTTCACATGCTCAAATAAGTACCGGTGTCAATTATGTTCAATACCAACATTACTTCTATTTTAATCTTTCATAATTTGATATGACTGAAGTTTTTTACTTTTGTACATGTCTAGCATTCGTCCAATTAACTTTTATGATGGAAGAGTACAAAAATGTCTTACTACAGTTGAGTAACATGTTTATACCTTTATTAAGGACTATATATAGTTTATATCGATGATAATTTGTAACAATTTGCACATACATTGATGATAATATCTGAAATCTTAACAACATAAATTTTGTTA